ACATCCAGACGCCATCTGCAATCATCACCAGTAGCAGAACCAAGCAAGCACACCACCACCACGCCACCAACATCTTCATCCCCATCCCCAGCCTGCCCCACAAGCCAACCCTTCTTCTTCTACACGCCTCTGAAGCCCCCATCCTCACCCCCAGGTTAAGCAGACAGCCTGTGCTTGGGTTTCCCAACCACCTGCCCCTCCATCAAAGACTTCCCTCTCCACCTCCCATGGACCTAGTACTTGGGTCCCCCCTTGTCCTACGTCCACGTCCATCAAAGATAGATGGGGACACGTCCCTTTGTTGTTTCATCCCCGCCTTCACTGTTAGACCTACCTGAACACTCTGCAGGGCTAATAAAATCGGCGATGAAGACTATTCCTCTCACACCCCTTAATGTGCTAGATCCTAGAGTCCTGTCCCTACATGCTAAACCACTCCCCATATGTACCTCCAAAACCACCTAGGGTTTCCAATTCACCTACCAAAAACCCCTCAGCCAGTCCCTCCCCTAACCTCATGACCATTCCACCCCCACTTCCCCCCCCTCGTTCAACACCCAAAACCTCTGCCTCAGCCCACCCCGGCCCTAACCCATCACCAAAAACCCTCTGCACCTCCCTGCCCCCCTCGTTCAAACGACCACCCAAAAGCCACCCACCTCTCCATCCTCCTCCCCCGCCTTCCCCTTCCCCTCTTTTCTCTAAACACTAGGATGCACAGGGCTCTCTGCTTCGGCACCACTGGCAGTCCTAGTTAGAGCGAGACCCGTCTGGGGCCCTGTCAGAAGCCACCAGTCCCATTCCTAGTTATAACCACAAAGACTACAGATTACAGAAAGACAGCTGGAGTTAATAAGTCTAATTCCTGGAAAATCTAAAAGTCTTGTTCCGTGTAAGATCAGCAGCCGACCACAACCGCTGATACTGAAACTTTGACACTTGCTACGCTTAATTGTCAGGATCTCTTTGTAAACAAGTCTTTTTTAACAATAATTTTATTTGTTCTCATAATCTTGATCTTATTTCATGGCTGAAACATGGCTTGACCAAAATTCAGGAAAATGCAGTTTTAATAGAAGCATCACCACCAATTTCAAGTTTGATTCTGAAATACGGGAAAACAAAAAAGGGAGAGGGCTTAGCTGAACTTTTTCAGAGACCACTTTGTCTCCCATAGAAGTCCCTTGGGATTTCGTATTTTGAATAGTGTCTTTTAAAATACAACAAAAACAATCTCCTCCAATACTTTCGTTGTCCTATACAAGCCACCGCATGCATGTCCACAGTTATTATTGATAAGTTTTACCGATTGCTTTCATTGGTAAGCCAGATTTTGATAGTTTGGTTAATACAGTGATTTGAATATTCATGTGGATATGTTGAAGACAGAAAAGCAAATTGAGCTGAGTTCTGTACTTGAATCCTTGATCTCACGCATCACGTAAAGTGGCCCACCCACAGCAGAGGGCAACACTCTAGATCTGTTATTAGCTAAGGGGGGTGAATATTTCCAAATGTAAAACGTGTCCGATGTGCTTCTTCGGATCATTTCTGTGTTTTTGTTTTGACTGTGTTTCACTACCATACCACCATTGACTCTCGTCTGCAACTGTACGCAGAAGACACATAAATGAAAATACGAGTTGAACTATTAGGAATGATAAACTTTGCGAATGCATCGTATTCTAATCTGTAGATGAACTGTTTAACTCGACACCTCTATTGTTTGAATGTTCTGGATACCGTTGCCCCTGTGAAGGTTAAAATAGAGTGAAAAAATAGCAAAGGCGCCCGTGGTCTAAAGCAGACTCGGTCAGGCACCAAAAGGAAAGTGCCGAGGGCCGAGCGGAAGTGGGCGCAAGTCCAACCTCCAGTTGATTACGAGATCTTCAAAGATACGTTGTGCGAGTTTAACCGGGTGCTACGTAGTACGAGAGAAAGGTATTTCTGAATGATTGAAGCTGCAGCAACAATTCTCGTGTCTGTTTTCAACAGTTAATAATTAACAAACCCCCCTGTTCAAATTCCCATAGAGCTTACTTCCAAACGTAAATGCATATTTGAGTGGAAACTTGGCTTGACCAAAATTCAGAAAATGCAGTTTTAATAGAAGCATCACCACCAAATTTCAAGTTTGAATCTGAAATACGGGAAAACAAAAAAGGAGGAGGCTTAGCTGCCATTTTTAGAGACCACTTTGTCTCCCATAGAATGTCTCTTGGGAAGTTTTCGTCATTTGAATATGTGTCTTTTAAAATACAACAAAAACAATCTCCTCCAATACTCTTCGTTGTCCTATACAAGCCACCGCAGTCATGTCACAGTTTTATTGATCATTTTACCGAGTTGCTTTCAGTTGTATGCACAGATTTTGATAGTTTGGTTATTACAGGTGATTTTAATATTCATGTGGATAATGTTGATGACAGAAATGCAAATGAGCTGAGTTCTGTACTTGAATCCTTTAATCTCGCTCAGCACGTAAGTGGCCCCACCCACAGCAGAGGGCACACTCTAGATCTGTTAGTTACAGAGGGGGTGATTATTTCAAATGTAAACGTGGTCGATGTTGCTCTTTCGGATCATTTCTGTGTTTTTTTTTGACATGTGTTTCACTAACAAACCACCAGTGGACTCTGCAACTGTTCGAAGAAGGCGCATAAATGAAAATACGAGTGAACTATTTATGGAAATGATAAACTTTGAGAATGCATCGTATTCTACTGTAGATGAACTGTTTAACTCTGTCACCTCTAGTGTTTTGAATGTTCTGGATACCGTTGCCCCTGTGAAGGTTAAAATAGTGAAAAATAAGCAGAAGGCGCCGTGGGCTAAAGCAGACTCGGTCAGGGCACAAAAGAGAAAGTGCCGGAGGGCCGAGCGGAAGTGGCGCAAGTCCAACCTCCAGGTAGATTACGAGATCTTCAAAGATAAGTTGTGCGAGTTTAACCGGGTGCTACGTAGTACGAGAGAAAGGTATTTTTCTGAAATGATTGAAGGCTGCAGCAACAATCTGCGTGTTCTGTTCTCAACAGTTAATAGATTAACAAACCCCCCTGTTCAAATGCCATTAGAGCTAACTTCCAAACGTAAATGCAATGAGTTTGCTAATTTTTTCAATGACAAGGTTCAAGGCATCAAAAGCGCCATTGTCTCCAATCCACAGATAACCATCCAACAGCCAGAAAGGCTCTCTGAGCTAACTCACTTTGCACCTGTAAATGATAAAACTGTCCAAGAGATAATCTCCAGTTTGAGCTCCTCCACATGCAGCCTGGATGTACTACCCACTAGATTTCTGAAGTCTGTTCTGAGCAGTCTGTTACCTTCACTCACACAGATAGTAAACATGTCCCTTCATTCTGGAATATTCCCAAAGGCCCTGAAAACTGCAGTCATCAGGCCCCTGCTAAAAAAGAGCAGTCTGGATGCCACTGTACTTAACAACTATCGTCCCATCTCAAATCTGCCATTTATGGGGAAAGTCCTTGAGAAAGTTGTCTACCTACAGCTTACTAGATTTCTTATAATCAACAACTCATTTGATATGTTTCAGTCCGGCTTTAGACCCCACCACAGCACTGAGACTGCTCTCGTTAAGGTTACAAACGATATCCGGCTGAACACTGACGCAGGCAAAGTCTCAATCTTAATCTTGTTAGATCTAAGTGCTGCCTTTGACACCGTCGACCATGAGATCCTCTTACAGAGACTAGAGGACTGGGTTGGCGTCACTGGCACCGCCCTAAGTTGGTTTAGGTCTTACCTTGAAGACAGGAAGTACTTTGTGGAGATTGGAAACTGTGTCTCAGATCATATGGCCCTGACCTGTGGAGTCCCACAGGGGTCGATCCTGGGACCTCTTCTGTTCAATCTCTACATGCTGCCGTTAGGTCAGTTAATACGCAGAAACAAAGTTTCCTATCATAACTATGCAGACGACACTCAGATCTATGTCTCACTGACTGCAGGAGAACATGGACCAGTGGACTCACTCCTTCACTGTATCCAACAGATCAGTGAGTGGATGCAAAACAACTTCCTTCAGCTAAACGCAGACAAAACTGAAATGATTGTCTTTGGTCCCCAGAAACAAAGAGAGAGCGTCATCTGTCACCTACAGTCTCTCTCCCTAAAACCTTCAAACAAGGTCAGAAATCTAGGGGTAATACTGGACTCAGACTTAAATTTTAATAGCCACATCAAATCAGTAACATCAGCAGCTTTTTACCATCTAAAAAACATTGCCAGGATCAAAAACATAGTGTCTAAAGCAGACTTGGAGATTCTTATCCATGCATTTGTCTCCAGTAGGTTAGACTACTGCAATGGCCTGCTCACAGGTCTGTCCAAACAGGCTGTAAAACAGCTGCAGTACATTCAAAATGCAGCAGCTCGAGTCCTGACAAGAACCAGGAAGTACGGCCACATTAGTCCAGTCCTCAGGTCTCTGCACTGGCTTCCTGTGGCTCAGAGAATAGACTTTAAAACAGCTCTGCTTGTGTACAAGTCTCTCCATAGCCTCGCACCAAAATATATTAGTGACATGTTAGTCCCATATGAACCAGCCCGGACTCTGAGGAGCACAGGGACTGGACTCCTGTTAGTGCCCAGAGTCAGAACTAAACATGGGGAGGCTGCTTTTCAGATTAATGCTGCTAAAATCTGGAACAGTCTTCCTGAAGATGTGAGACAGGCCTCCTCTCTGACAATGTTTAAAACCAGGTTAAAGACGGTTCTGTTTAACTGTGCATACAACTGAGGGATTTTATATTTTTATCTTTCTTTTTAATGTTCTGTGATAATTTATGATTTTAATGCTTTCTTGTTTTGTTCAGCACTTTGAATTGCCTTGTGTATGAATTGTGCTATATAAATAAACTTGCCTTGCCTTGCCTTGCCTTGCCTTGCCTCTTGTTGAGAAGCGATCTTACAAACCACCGTACCCAAAGATCCAGATTATTTCTGTGCTAAAATGTTTAAAGTCAAAGTTTTTGCTCTCACTTTTCATTCAACCTAATCCAAGAGCCAAACGGCAACAACAAAAAAATCCATATTTAAGCTCAAAAGACACATCTCGATCGGATATTGGTCTCAAATCTTTCTAGGTTTGTTTCAGTGAGCACTTATCCTTGGCTGAGATAATCCATCCCTCCTCACATGTTTGGCATAAAGCATGAATACTACACAGGGGCCTCAAACTGACCTCAAATAACAAAATCCAACCCTCTCCAATGACGGTACCAAGTTGCAGGAGATTGGCAGGAACTGGAACATGCTAGGGTGTACAGCAATCCAGAGCATCCCCGAACATGGTCTATGGGAGAATGAGGGTGAGTGTTGCGGCCTTTTGCTGCCATGTCGTTACTTTGTTGTGATGAGGTGAAAAGACAGGAATCAACACAGGAATCAATACCAGAGCTGCATCATTGTTTTGTGAGATTTTAAACGAGCTCAAAATTAGATCTCGAGATATTACCTTGAACAACAATTGAGCTGCATTTGTATCTGTTTTTTTGAAGAACAAAAACAGCAACATTTGGGAAGATCATGTTCAATTTGAAAGTAGAAGAATCTGCGTTTCCTGGTTGGGCTCTTCCTAAAGACAATATATACAGTAGCCTCAGCACGTTAGGAGTGTCCCAACTTTAAACATTTTTTTAAGAGGAGACAAAAGAATTTAAAGCTGGAGAAGCTTTGTATTGTTTTCTGAAATAGAAAGTTGTATAAAAGTAATATATTGTGAACAAATCAGACCAAAACACACTGTCTCAATCTATTAGAAAAATTACACCGATTGTTATTATTATTATCAAAATCAACTTGCAAATTGTTTCCTAGAGTCACAGACCTGGAATTGTTTTTAGATCCACACTAACTTCAGGAACTTCTGGCGCAAACATTCCGCCCACTTTGTCTAAAAGCTCCTGCCTCAGTCCTGTCATAGTACCGCTATGACATCACACTCAGAGAAGTTTTCTGCCTCTTAAAACAAAAGTATTGCTCCTAAAATTAGCTCGGGTTAGGATTTGAATCTAGGACCTTGGGCAGCACATGAGTGGCAACAATTGTAAAGCGCTTTGTGACTGTGGTCTGTGAAAGGCGCTATATAAATACTT